TCATTCAAACAATATTCTATTGATTTAAAAATGAATATAAATATGATACGAAAAATTTTTAGAATTGTTTTTTTTTTGATTGATTGAATTACATGCTGCATTACTTTATCAGAAAATAATGAGAGATCAATTAGAAAAAAACATTTTGAACAATTCTAGTATTCATCAAAGAAAAAGAACGAAATTCGTGTTCTCGATTTACTAGGGATGATGAATGGGAAAATGCAATGGAAATAAAACAAAAGAAATAGTTGAACGCTCGACTACATCCTGATGTTCTTCAAGCACCAGTTGTTGGACTACTCTAGGATATAGACTATAGAGGAAAGCATCTATAAAATGCATGTCCACTAGTTGTCGGTGGAAATGTCCTTTAGAAGAATCAAGGGAATGTCCAACGTCTGTGGAACGTAATCTCCTCTTTTCGGTTGAACGAACACGAATCCCCTAACGATTTGGCATTGAGATCAATTTGATAAGAATGATCAGTCGATTTTGTTGTCGTTTTTATTTCCTTCTTTCTCAATTCTCCATTTCTCTCATTTCCTAAATGTCACTTATTCGTTTTCTTACTCTTATACTGCATATCCTGGTGATGTCGTTGCGCCACCTGTTGGCACGTACAAAATTATCCCCGGGCGAATCCGCGAGCTGAGATTACTCGACAACTTTGCCAATGAGCAATAAAACGGGATAGAAAATAAAAAGAGAAATAATACCACATGGAGTATGACAGAAACTTGCATCAAGAAGCAATTATACCACTGGAGAGAGATTTTTTATGACTATTCTAGGTCCTTATTTTCTTTTCCAACTATCTTTTTATCTAGGATATAATATGTTTATTGTCCCACTTTAAGAAATTTTTTTATTATTTAAATAAACACAAATAATTTGAAAAGTTCTATACCTTTTAGTTGATCATGGATGTCAACATGACCAACCAAGGTTCTCTTTAGCTCCATTAGAGTCTGTAGTTGTCTCAAGCCACCAAGAAACATCAATTTTCATCATAATTACGTGTCTTCTAACTGAAACATATCGACTAGAATTTACTATGATGATTCCACAGAAGCTTTCTTGGACGTGCAAACGCTTAACCATTCTCTCAAACTTCCTTTATATAAACTTGCTTGTTGATTATAGCTCCTAGCCCATGTATTGAAATCATTTTAATGCTCTATTCCAGAAATTCCGTTTACATAAATTCTATCGATATAGTGTAGATGTAGAGATATGAAGTTACTTTGTGCTTTAGGGAGAGAATATTGTAGTGAATAGCCAAGTTGAAATATTGATGATTACTTCAGTTATTTAGAGTTGTTCACTGACATTATAGAAAGCCACTCCCACTCAAATGTTATAGTCATCATCCCCTATCTATTCTCCACCCTCATTTGATCAACTCAGCATCGATTTCCTGACGGTGCACCTTCCAGAATGCTTGTAGTAATCCTCTATTTTTTTACGTGTCTCCCTCAGCTAGGACGAATTTTTTAGATTATAATGAAAAAAACTACTCATCACCACCGTAGGTTGAATAATCATTTTTTCGATTTACTTGGAGCTAATACAATACTTTGTACAGGAAATTTTATTCCACAGTTCTTCCGTAACTCAATTCATATGACAGTTTAATCATATTAACTTAATTTCCTGAATCAGGAAGCATTAAAATTGCAACAGGGATTAAAAGTTACTATTAATTTTCTCACAGTTTAATCAAAGTCCTATTTCAATAAAAGATCAAAAAAATAATCAAATAGATAAAAGTATCCAATTAAATGATAACTTTTGTTATTTGAAATATTGAAGTTGATTTATTTATTTCTGAAAATCTTCATCCGTTACTAGTTCATTTCAAACAAAATCTTATTCTCCGTTTTTTGATATCAAAAAAAAAACCCTCAAAATAAATTACTGTCGAAATAAATTTATCCTCCATTATTGCTCGTAGCTTAAGTGAATTGTGAAAAAATTTTTTCATTAAAATTTTATAACCAATCTCCTGATCAATCACGAGAGATTAAACGAAGTTAGAGGGTGACATTTCATCACTGAAGATTCAACGTAAGTAGGGAAGTGCAGAGACTCGGTTGATGAGGGGTTGTGAAATCTCTGTTAGAATGCTGAATTGTCTATAGAAATTAGGAAACCTAAGAAACAATTTTTTATTTTTTTATTTTATATGTCGATATAGATTTTTTTTTAACTTTCTGTCTTTTATTCTCAATATTTCATTTCTTCTTTATCCCAGAATATCTTTATCGTATACGAAACTACAAAAGAGAATAGTTTTTCTCTATTCCAAGCATATGAGCAGAAAGAGAGATTGCTCTACCTTTTGCACTATCTGTAAACAGAAAACACAATATTATGAGAGAAGTTGGAGCGTGTCTGACAAACTGACCAATCGTTTTGGGGTTTATTTTTTTATTTTCCCCTGTACATCTTAAATTCAGTAAAAGTTGCATTCAAACATTTGAACAAACTTTTTCATTACTTTCTGAAGATAAAAAATACATATTGGCAATCCTTTTTTATAATCAATCTGAAAGATGATATATCTATAAGTTAAAAGAGTTTTTTTTTCAACTTTGTTCAGGAGAAATGATTACTTGAAGTGATACAAAAATACACGAGCTCTTGTGACTATCTTTATTCAATTTTACTGGAAGTTTATGATTTATTAACTAATTTATTCTGATGAGAAACTTCTTAATTTTATTTATATTTTATTAAACTAACAAAGTGAAATAATGGACATTAAATATTTGAAGATCATTAAATTGAAATTTAAATAATACAAAATAAATAACTTGAACGTTGTAACAATAAAAAGCTAAAGCTTCTTCAGAGTAAGTATCTTATTTATATGATTACAAAAAGAAGGTTTATTCAAAAAGTAATCGAAAATAAAGTTGAAGAATAGTTTTTTTCCATTTAGTTGAATAATGTTAATTGAGTTTTCGAGAGCCATTTTAGGCTTCAGTAGATTTGTAAAGATTTAATCAGAAGAGTATCACGTACATTTAGCAGTTAAGAGAAGGTGATAATTATTCATTGTAGCTTTTAGCCAAGTTGTTATACAGATTTCGTAACTAGTCCCCTTGCAAATTCACTTGCTGTAGAATATCTTTGTTCTTGATGCATGTCAACAAGAAATGACGACATTGTCAGGGGATCCTTTAGTGAAGAAAATACAAGAGAACCCGTCGTTCTTGAGTATAAATGAGGAAGAAAGAGAGTCCCGTGCGGTTTTCCCGCCAAGTTCATTTAACATCTCGTATCTGGATCTAAGCCAAATTGGGATGTGAATCTGAGCTTCAAGAGCAACAAGGAATGGAAGAGAATAGAAAGTAAAAGAGACAGAGTAAATAAGGAATGAAAGAATGTAAGAAAATTAAAAAAAAAGAGATATTTTTATATCAGAAGAGCCACACGCCAAATTTTTTTTCATCCACTAGATGGTACTTCAACTTACACCTATTAGATTTTTTTCTTCCAGCATAAGTAGTCTACTTCTTCTCTTTTCGACTAGCTTCACACTTGAGATAGCAACAGACTCTAATAAGACTAGGTCATGGCCCTATTTTGTAATATTTCCCAACCAATTGCTTGCAACGTTAACGAGAATAAATGTGACAAAGTAAATCCTCAGCAAGTTATTGGCTACATTAGTTTTCTTTCTGATTCTCTTGACTTTTTTTAAGTTGTCATATAATCATTATTTCGTTATTCTCATTCGATACAAAATATTATAGAGGCACTTATTATTGATTTTTCAGATTCTGACCATCAATTCCTTCTCAATTTTCACTAAAACTATTTTTTTAAATCCAAGTCGAAATATAGGTACTTGTTTTAATTTTTTTAAATCATTTTTGTCATTTTTGTAGTCAGTTTTTATACTGAAGATTTTTGTTTTCGGTTATAATCCTTTTTAAACTCTCAATATTATTTCTCTTATATTTTTTAAGAACTAAAATGTATTGAAAATAAAAGTTCTTGATCGGTATTTAGTAGCAATAAATTTTAAGTAAATTATAATACATAATTAAACACACGGTAATAAAAAAAGCAATAAAGAAGAATATTATTTAATATTTATTGAGATAATTTTTTTTATCAAAAAATTTTAGTTGTAATTTTCCATATTTTGTAATAAAATATATTTTTTTCCATATGAGTTCGGTTAGTATGTATCAAAGAATTTATTAGTAAAATTAAAAAAGTACTGATATGACTGAAAACAGAAATATACAACGCAAATAAAGACTTAGAATTACTTTTTGGTTTTTCATAAATAATATTGAGGTAATTTCAAATAATCGAAAATCAGAACTTTGAAGTATTAAAAAAATATCTATCTTTTGACTCAGGAACACATTTATTTTCTTGATTTAAAATCAATGTAAAAGTGAGCTTTGTATTTATCCATAAAATTTTATTTACTAAGAAGCATGAAATAAAGTGATAAAAGCATTTTTTAGTATGACTGTTGATGTTGAAATTTAAACTTTGTAGCTATCACGGAATGCATTTATAAAAATTTCCCGTGACACTCTGTACACTGGAATCGGAGTAACTAATGAATCAAAGTGAAGGAATATACGGATGAACTTTAAGCTTTACTCGGGAACTCATTCTATCGATCTTCTGTGATGGACGCGCTCGGTCGACGTAGGAGAAATGCACTTCCTCTCAGTCGTTTCGTGCTCGGCTGGTCATCCTCTCTGCTCTCGAAAGAGCAAAGAGGGTTGGCGGTAGTATAGTGGTAGGTCCATAGTATTGGCACGGTGCCAGTTGAAGCTAGTGCTCAATGAAATCTTTTCTGGGTTAGGTTAGACCTTTCGCCTCCTCTGGTGTTCCTTTCTTTCGTGTTAAACGTAGGATACATTCACGCCTGGCAAGCTGCCAAATCGAGAGGGGCAGCTTCACTACATTGACGTATCAAGCAGCTGGTCTGATTCTACATAGCAGGCCAGTAGTTACGGCCCGTATCGGCCAGACCGGGCGTCCGATCTGTTCGAAACAGGTCGCTTTGACAGCTGTACAACCGAATTCACTGATAAGATACACCACGTGGACACTGTTAACTGGTGGCCTTGTCCCTGGACTCGATCGAACCTAAAAGAGAGGAGATTCTGATTAAACAAATTTCCAAATCGATTTCGTTTATTCTAAAAATAATTATCCTAAAGACTTAAGAGAGCTTTCTAGTGAATAGCATTTTGGTTCTATTTAGAAACAGATAATCAGTAAATTGGATAAAGCCGGTAAATTTGTGTTAGAGGATAAAATCCCGATAACACGAAAATGCTGATGGGATAACTACCAAAATATTAAATTAAATATTCCGTGAAAGTCACCACGTTGAGGCGTAACAAGTAGGCATCGCTTTAAAGCAGCTCATCTGGCTTGGAAACTCTCTCTTTTACTATTCTCCCTTTCTATATCTCCTTTTATTCTATCGTCAAGCAAGCAAGCGCAGCGCTGAAGTTTGCCACAGCATTAAGTATTCCCGTTGGGTCTGCATGGCACGGCGCGTTGTCGGTCGATGCTGGCTGAAGCGGCGGCTCATCGTGTGGCTCTCCCCCTCGCGAATTATTTTCCCTACTCCAGGATATCTCTTCCCTACCCTGAAGTGAGTGGGTGAGTTGCAAAAGGTGGGAGACAGTTAGCGCATGCTCACCAGTAATATTTGAGCCTTTGAGGGGTTTCACGCGCCCACGAGCACAGTCTAACTTTCCCCCACTTGCCGGTAAGTGATTCCTCTCCTTGTTGAGCGGAATCCCTACTCTTTCGCTTGGTGTCTCGTCCGCTACCCCTCGCTAGGGCGAACTGCCCGGGCATCTACGGCCGCCCCATTCCGTTCTCGGCGCCACAACGTGTAGCATTACCATCCGAACGCACGACCACCTGCCTCTTGGCATTTACGTTTACGTTCTCTCTCTCTCCTTTCTCTCTCTCTCACACACCCCGAGCGCGATCTGAGAGTGTACCCAAGGATTAAAATAATTAATTAATCAACGGAAGTTAATAAAAAGTCATTCCGAGAGAGGGAAATCATTTTAACGAGCGCCAAATAAACGTGTGTTTCAAAGTTCTTGTTATAGTGCCGATTTATTTGCGATTTAGTGCAAAGAGAGTGTCAAAGTGAGACGATTTAATTGATCTTTCATCAGGGAAAAAGGTGATACGCGTCTTTTCCTCCTGACGCGTACTATATAAACAAACACTGGGGACTAAAGTTGTTGAGTATCGCGCGTGGCTTTCTCACTTACCCGGTACTATACTATTCAAACGTGACCGTATCGCGTGCGCAAGAAAAAACAGTTATCACCAGATTACCAACATTTGTACCATTGTTTTGGATTAATTAGACTCGTGAGTTTCATAAAGGAACACGAGCCATTAAGTCGAGTAAACCAAAAGTACGGGTCAGCTGATCAGGACCCGTCAATATAAGAAAAGTCAAAGTGTTCCAGCAAGTGGAACCGATTTCTAAATCTGTCAAGACAAGTGTACACAACGGCGGTCACTACGTATATCACGCCGCTCATCACCTCTGAAAAGGTACCAGGAGAGTGTGTGTGTGTGTGTGTGGATTTCTTGTTTCATTATCACCAAGATTTTATTTTTGTCAAAAAATATTTAAAAAAGAGGATGAAGAATCAACGCATTCCCTGTTTCGGTTTTGACAAAAGACCCCTCTGGTGGCTTTGTTGTCGCCGTCTCGTTAAGCCGAGACTCATTTCATCTTGTGACGTCGCGCATCTACGCCCCGAGAGTGGGCTCGAGAGAGAAACGGAAACGAGAGGATCGCTCGTTAAGCACGGCGACGATGAGAAGCTAGCAAGAGGGTTCTTTCTTTCTTTATTCATACCACCACACTCTGTTTCATGCCACTCGCTCGACTATCATTATTATTACCCTTCTCCAAAACCTCCTTATTACTCATCGCAAGACATTCATTTGTCCAGAAATATCGTGATGGAAAACTCGTCTCTCGCTTAAGTATGACCAAATAACTGATTATACTACTGAAAAACGCTGGACATCTTTTTCATTCCTCCATCACCCAGATGTTTCTGATTTTTTTTGTTTTATGAAAGTGACTGCATATATTTATGAAAAAGTGAATAAATGATTATAAGTTCTTCAATAAAGCTTAAGTGATTGATGTTGTATTTATAAACATCCAAAAGTATATACCAATATCGTGAAAATATTTTTTCATAAAGGAAGACGACTTGTTTCAGTTTTTCAAATCTCTAGTCATTGTTTTCAACGTTTTAGTGTCCTGTACTACTTCTATATCACTTCTACTTGACTATTTGTCCAACTTTTTTGGTAGAAAATCTCTCAATCTTTCATAGAAACGTCTCAATATTTTTCTACAGTTCTAAACTGCCAGTCTTTATATTTTATTCAAGATTTGAGGAAAAAAAGACGTGAATAGCTTGTGAAAAGACCTCTTTTTCTTCAATTTACAAAAAAATGCTTCTGGTAAATTTTCATTCTCCCACGTGCCAGTAGGCTTATTATATAGGTCGTGGTCGATTCATCATGTTCTATCTCTTTTTCTTCTCCTTTAGTTCCATTGGAAGATCGTTTTACACCTTGGTAGGCGCAAGAATCGAAGTCTTGGATCCTACTCTCAGTAAACTAGGTCGAGAACTATGCAACTTGTAGAGATGTATATCTTTTGTTTTTAATAAGTATCACTCTTTCATCGTAGCTTCTTAACAAATCCACGAGTTTCTTACATACAAAAATAAATTTATGATGTAAACTTTTTGAATAATAAATCAAATTTTCAATCATTTATTTGTTAAACTACTTAAAAAAAAAATTGATTTCAAATAAATAAACTTCGAACTATTAAATTGTTATGTGTGGTTATTAAATATGATAAAGATGTTATATTTGTATATAACTATTTGGTTTTTTTTTTAGCTACACAATCGTTGGGGGAATTTTATTCATATCAAGTTTTAAATAAATAAACCGTCCATGGTTATTCGAATATAGAGTTGAGTCCAGTATTCCATATGAATGAAAATAATCGCAATCGACCCACATTAATTCTAGTGTTTTTTACTTTTTTACCGCTTTTAATGGATATATTTTTCAACAAACAAATACAAAACGAACAAATGAAAAAACAAAATATCAAACAAGTGATTTATTAGCCACGAATTCAATTACAACTGTGTTTTTTGTGGGATTCTACACAACAGGAAATTCTTCAACACATGTTATTTATTTGTGGTATTTTTCAAAAAAAATCACTAGTATAATTCTAGCCTTAGACATTTATGATTTTTATGGAATCAGAACATTTTATTTATTTATTTATTTATTTATTTTTTTAAAATTCTCAAATTTTGCATCTAGGGGATCTACATTTAATGAGTATGAAATGAATATTATATAAGATAGAAAAAAATGGTACTTTGTTTCATTAAAAATCACATTTTGTATCGAATTAAGTAGAAAAGTTGATGTTGAGTCAGCCTGAGAGATATATTTGTATTCATACACCAGTTTTGTTTCAAGTTTTCCAGACAATTATTTAAAAAAAACTTTCACTTTTTTGAATTCACAACAGTTTTTATGATTATTATATTCTACTTTTTTCATTGAGAGTTATTGCTATTCTTCGATAATGCGAAATGTAAAATTTTCAGTCATAAAAATACGAAGGTAGAATAGTCAGAATAATGAACTAGAGAATAAAAATGTAAAAAGAGAGAAAACGAATTGAAAAAAAAAACCTTGAATAAAGGATAAAAAAAAATACTTGGTAGACCACGAAGTCCTCGATTGCTGGAAGTAATCAAGCCAGGATAAAGTAGCAGAGTCCTTTAAAAAAAAAGGCTAAAAAGGAAAAAGGACTAAAAAACGGACAAAAGTCGATGTTCGAGTTGAAGAAGTGAAAAGTACTTTGGGAGAAATAGTTAAAAAAAAATGGAGATACAGATAATTCAATAGAGAGTAAAGGGAAACACTCTCTTGCATTGTCTATAGGAATTAGAATCTTTCGATTTGCCGAATTCCACTTGTGTTTACATCAAAACGCTTTTAAATCCAACGAAGCGACGTCGGTTGTCTCGGACGCGAGTCCAACTGGGGTAGAAATGGTTGGGGAGTCAGGGAATTTAGTGATACACAGGCTCACTCCCCGTTCTTCTTCAGCTGACAAACGACCAAAATGTGAAAGTAGGTTAACTCTCTCTCCTCCACATTTCTCAGAGCGCGTGTCACTTGCTACTCATCCTTCCATACAACCCCCGAGAGTTTCGGCAGGCATCCCTTGTTCTTCAAACAACTCCCATCCCCTAAATTGTTCGATAGTGCACTCACACTTCTTACAACCCCTCCCTTTAACTTCTGATGTATATCTGTATACATATATATATATATATTTCAAGTGAATGTCAGGGAAAAGTATCACAAATCAATTCCATTTATTAAGTTGTTGTAAATGTTCCTGCAAACTTTTCATAAAACTTACACTTGATTCAACTTTTACAATGATTTTTCTTTTTCAATTAAACACTGTCATTGATCATTAATTGTGCGATGTATTTTGATGCATTATAGTAATAAATAAGCACTGATTTCGCCATGAAAAATTACAATGTGGGGTTTTGCTTTTATTTATTTTGATTGCTTGGAGAAATTTATTGGTGATTGTCATTTTAATACAATAAACATGACCTTTTATGGATTGACATATGCACCATAAATCACTCTGAAATGATTTTGTTGTAGAAGGAAATTCTTAGATGGACTGATGGAAAAAGAATGAAACAAAAAGTGATCAGTTAAAAAAAAGCTTGGATAAAAATTTTTTCCACATTAGGAAGAGACTTTATATGAGACTCAAACTAAAATATGCATTAACATATTATTGTAGTATAAAATATTATCATATTTAAATAATGATATTGAATTTCAAAGTAAAGGTGAACTATTCAAAAATACTTTTTCACTCTATTTAACTATTTTAATAATTTCCCATTCATATGAATAAGTAAAAGTTCAATAATTAATTCAGTGAAAAATTAATCGATTATGTATTTGATTATTCAATAAATTATATGAGCTAGTTTATTTGAATACCATTATGTCATTCAATATATATTACGAGTTTAATACTAATAAATTACAGAAGCATTTGTGGGATAAATGTTAACATGATTGTGCTAGAAACAGAACAAGTAGTAACTTTAATAATTATTTTTTTTTTTTGTAGTGCTTCAATATTACATTTGTTAATTATTCAAACTATGTAAAGCAGTAAAGATATTTAATTGCTATAAATAAAAGCCAAATTAAATCTCTGTGTGTATTTTAATTTGTTTAGATAATTATTAAGCAAAGTTAAAAATAAATGGTAATAAAATTCAAGGATTGTTGGTAATGATTATTACTAAAAATAATTTTTTGAGTTTTTCTAAAGCTTATCTGAAATAAAAAAGTAATAAAGATTCCAAAAATTAGCTTAAAGATATCATCTGTTGGTAAGATAGATTTCAATTGTTATTATAATATTTTGATAATGTTCATTTAATAAATTTTGTTGTTATTGTTTTTATATAAATAACACATCATCACACATGTTTTGAATATTATTTTTAATTGACGATTCCGTTATTTAGCATAAAAAAAATTAAATTATGATAAATTGAACAAAAAATGCTATTAAATGAATATATTTTATTTAAACGAATAGAATTAACGATATTATATCTAATTAAAGCATAATAAAAAAATATTTTATCTACTAAAGCTACCATCACATTAAATTCATAAAAGATCTCTTACTTGTTTACTCAGATCCTTTGGAAAGTTATTCAAGAGAAACCTTCAACATTGAGAGTGAAAAAATGAAACGTAAAAATAGTGAAAAGAAATAAGGATTTCATGAATTTTTTACTAGACTTTTCTGTTGAATGGTCCGTTTCGTTCTGACCTGATTATACTATTGGAGAGAGAAACGTTATTGGAATTAGTTCACGTACCTGTTGAGTACATAGTTGAAATTCCTAGCTTTCAATTCTAACGCGATGCACCTGGGAAGAATCAATGTTAATCGGGCCTCATTAACGCCTCAAAACTCATTGGTGGACAGACTTGCATCTACATACATACTAGTACATATTCAAGGGTATACGCGTCTACAATTGTAAATGTAGAATGTCTATATATAGTTGACCATGGCTAGTTGGCACTCAAGGGAATAGCTAATTATGTGCATTGTTATTCGAAAACGATCGTGAAGCTTCAACATTACCTAGTGATTTTATCGCACCCAGTATAATAACCAATATATTGCTGTGGGAATCGATCTACACACCAATGGACGAAAATTCATGGATTCATGAATATATTTATTTTTTTTATCACCATCTACCCCTTGCAGGCTTTTTAGCTCGATATAAACCATCACTTCTCCATTCACTCGAACCAAAGCCTATTCAAAGGCTCATACTACTTTTGTAATATGAATTCGCATTCTGCACGTTCGCGATTATGTTAGTTTATAAATGAATTAATTATTAAAC